ACTCAACAGATGGGTTACCAATCTTAATTTGCATTTGGAGCTAGTGTACTGATTTGATGTGGTGAATCGTGAGGTGGCGTACAAAGGGTATCTAAGCCAAACCTCACCCCTGGGTACAGGGTATTGCTCTGCTGCTCCGCTCAGGTGTTTTGGCCTCGCAGATTGCGCAGCGCTGCCTGCGCTCTGTATAGCGGAGGCATGAGCGCAGGGCCAAACCGCTACGCACACGCTCTTTTGAGCGGAGCGGTTGCGGTATTGTTTTGGATAATTCGAATCCCAGGAATGCCACTGATGAGTAGCTGAGCAGCCCCTCAGCCAATAATCAGTGACATCATTTGGATCCTCCTGATTTGGATCCTTCTGAAGGTGATTCTGAGTATACAGTGATGTGTCAGCTGGGTCCTGAGCACTCATCCAATGGATGATCCATGCTCAAGAGATGCTCATCCAAGATGAAGATGAGCATGCTTTAGCAAACTCAAGCAATACCTAAGTATTACAGGCTGAGCACTTTGGCACCACCAAAATGGTGAATTGAAAGAATCTGAAGGAAATTGAAGAATTTTTGGAGTTATCAGGAAGGTACCCTCTGCTCACATCTATGTGAGTTTTTATTTTTCTCCCTGTGAATACACCCTATCAGTTCCTAACAAATATTTTCTTCTTCAGTCTCATCAGAGGTTTAGTATTCTTATTATCATAGATTAGTACAATCGGGTAGTGGATGCCACACTCATGATATCAGCAGGAAAGACTTACCAGATCTCCCATATAGACTTCTCCTGATAAATATAGGATGTTGCACTTTATGCTGCATTTGATGTGGTATTTTAGCTTTCCAACAAGCTCTATGGAACCCCCAAAACACAAGAAAATTTAATAGGTGGTGAAAAGTCAAGATGGGAAAAGTAACCCAACTTGAGAATCACCACAGTCCCCCATGGGGTAAAAACAGGCTTGAGAAGGTCTGACTTGTCAACCCCAGGAGGTGGATGTAAGGTTACACCTCACAATCACCGGTGTGACAGGTATATCAAACTACAGTACATCTATTTGTACAGAACTAGTTACATTTTGGTTTCTTCCTCATTCTCTTTCTTTTGTTTCTTTCAAGATAGTTCTTCTTTTCTTGTCTGGGGTTTTCTTCGATCTGATGTTCAGTTGAGCTAGGCCTAGCTTTTGCAATACTATTTTGGATTCTAGATACTCCTGGTGTTGCCACCTGTGTGCTTTTTTAGTGTAGCTCCTTACAGGAGCTTCCAGTGGATGGGTTTTTATTGAATTGATTATTGGCAGAGAAATGCAGGAAAAGCAACTTGCTAGGCATTTCAGGATGTAGTGTGGAAGGAAATGGAACAAGCAGACAGGATTTATTTCCCCTTTTTACATTTCTTCCAAATCCACCTGCACTGCCAACATTTTTACCTCAGATCTCTCAATCCAAGGTATTCTTGGGTCTGAACCCTTGGACAGTTCTTGTCTGAGGATTGATCCAAGCCATTTTATGCTGCATAAGATTTCCTCAGATTGAACCCTTGGACACAATTTAGCCAAGGATTTTCACCCAATGATGCCTTGGATTTCTCAACCCAAGGCCAATATGCTGGCAGTGCTGTGTGGAGATGTCAGTTGTCAAAGACTCAAACCATCTACTTATGATATCTAACACCTGACATTCCTCATCCTTTCAGGAATGGACCTCAGAGTGCCTCCACAGGCTCCAGAACACTAGGAGACTGCTGAGTTGCTGCCTGTTTGCCACTTGTGAGAGATTTTCACTATGCAATTTACACCAAAGTAGTATGTATACTGTCAGGCAGCCTAGCAAATCCTCTTTGCTTGGATGGGAGCTTCAAGTAGGACATGTTTTCTGGCCTCAAAGTTGATTCATATAATGGCAGTGCTATCTTTCAACTTGCCTTTTGGCGTTTGAGGCTCAAAAACCTGATCATTGTATTGACTCAATAGAAAAACCATAGCTATTCTGATAATCAGACCCTTCAGAGTCTTTGCTCACTTTCAAGAGTTCATAATACCAAGCCCTGGATTGCCTCCGGCACATCACTACTGAGGCTCAGGTATTCAAACCACCATGGGAGTTGACAGACATCATTGTTGAAGGAATTCACCACCACTTGTTGAGCAGTAGTTTTGAGCCGTAATCAAACTTCATGTCCTACATATGCGATGAAAGCTTCATCTCAACTTCAACCCTCATTTTCCTTTTCCCAGTGGAAATTCAAACCATAAAGTTTGGAGAGGCCTTTCAAGTTGTTGAAATTCCGTGGAATGATTGTTTGAAGTTATTGAACTCTTACGGTCTCAGCATGCTTTGAGTTTCAGTATCATGTTTGGGATGTTGCACTTGAAAAGCTACTCTATGCTGAATTGTCTTTTCCTCATGGCCATCAATCAGCTCTTTGTGTCTTTTTGCCGAACATCTAATGCCAATGGATCAAGTTCCTTTACATGATGTTGTTGTCCATACTTAGCCATTCCCTATATAATCTTTGTCATCATGAGGGTCTTTCCTTCCCACCAGGGTCGATGCTTCGGTAAATCATAGGTTATCGCCTTCAGGGTATGCAACGTCCCTAAGTAGATGATGACACGTAGATATTGATGATGGTGATGATATCGACGATGATGGTGTCACGGTGAAGTGGCTGTGGTTGAAGTTGAATGCATGTAAATACGTCATCAATCTGAAAAATACAGTTCTCAAACTTTAAAAACTCAAAAGTGGTCAGATCGAATTCCCATCATTCCCTTTCCCCTTTCCTCAATCCCATCATCAACAATTCTCAAATCCAATTCAAACCACTTCATTCATCATGAACAGCGATACATCAACAGCACAAACAGAAGCGGATTCTGGTTCAATGGCCAAAGTTGCACAAGATGAAGCGAAACCAATGAAGACTGATACTACCATTACCACTACCTCTAGTGAAGTCGGATTAACTCATTCAGCTTCATTATCATCAATACCTTCATCCATCAAAACTACCATCGTTCCAACTCGTCCTATCGAATTATTCGCGACCCCTAAACCAGGTTCTTATCATGCTCCTCGTCCAGTGGATCCAAAACAAGAAGAAATCATCAGTTCACCGTCAGCCTTAACACCTCTCAGAGCTCATTACCTCAAACGTGAACTGGTCACTCTTCAATTTGCGATCGAACTTGAGCAGCTTAGCACACCGCATGCACTCTCAGTATTAGGACCACCTTTCTTACCGGCCCACTCTTTCACAAATGGAACACCAAATCAACCACCTGCTTCAAGTTCAAAACAACCAAACCATCGTACCAAAAACCATAACACTACATCATCATCATCATCAGGCGAAGAAGCTGAACTACCCTTTCTCAAATTCTTTTTCCATCACTTCGTACTCACTTTTCCATTTTTACTCACCGCCTCACCTTCATTCTTCTCTCACAAACTTCAACCTTTCTTTTATTCATTCTTTTCCCGAAATATCTCTGGATCTGAAGATAGAGATGAAGAAACCAAAAGAAAGAAGATTGCAGGAAAAGTTGAAAAACATTTAGGTTTAGTTTTAGCTGCTGCTATTAAACTTACAGATAACAATGGTCAAGAAGAAGTGATTCGAGTTTCAGCTTCTGATGATCCTACTCCAAATGATGATGACGCATTTGTACCCACTCCTACACTCACAAATGATCATCCTATTGCTATCGCTGCTATCACTGCTAATCCTCAATCCGGTCCTCCGATCAATACACTTCCCAGTCTTCATGGTTTTGATGTGAATATCGTCGGAATCAGAAGAATACGTACAAAGGGTCGAGTACGATCAAAGTTTCATGAAGAATTTCTTATTCGCACTCGAATCCCTGGAGCTGATGATGTGTATGTCAGCAGACGATATGGTGATTTTGTCAAATTGGCACAATCAGTCAGTAATTTCCCTCACCTTTATTGTACGGTTTTTTTACTGAAATATTTGCTCATCTAAAACTATCGACATGTTACGAAAAATTATCATTCCTACCTTTTTTCCTATTTATCCAGTTGAGGACTGAGCTGCCTGAATCTGATATCAGAGGTCCGCCGGCTAAGGATAGAAGATCGATTGATGGAACAGGTGACATCAGTCCACCACAATCGCCACGAACGCCTTCCCACTCTCGTCAAAGTACCGACTCCGCTACTCACCCAACAGCTGGACTGCCTATACACTTCACACGTGAACGTAACCGGCTCACCCTACGAGCCTATCTTCATCGACTTTTAAACAAACCTGAAGTCTCGAATTCAGAAGTTTTGCGATCTTTCCTGATCGATCATCCTATTGAATTGACATCCACCGAAAAACAAGATGTAGAAGCTCGAGCGGCTATGGATCGAGCACGAGAAAAGGAGCATTTGAGATTCAAAGCTGAAGTTGAAGGTCGAGTAAGAGAATTAGATCAATATCTAAGAGGTTTCAGAGAAGAATTGGTTAAGAGTGATGGGCTTAGTAGAGTGTTTGGTACGATCAGAAAGGTTGACAAAGTCGAAAACTTGCCGATAGAATATCGTAAAGTAATAGAATGGGCTAGGATTTCGTAAGCTTAAAACCCCTGCATTTACTATGTTTAGATCGTATGACTCATCTTGTCCTCATCGTTCTTTTTGGCTGTGATAAACCACTCTTTCGTTCAAACAATTTCAGACTTGCTTCAACCGTCTATCAAATCTTTCTTGGATCCGATAATTCTTCTTCAGCTTTTGCCCAACTGAAACGAATGCACGGATTGATGCCCTATTGGGCCATGCGTAAGTCTATTTATCTTGCCGCCTTGACAGGTACATGATGCTGACATGTCAAACTTCGGACAGGTGGTGTGTTACGAGTGTCAAACCCAGTAGCAATGATTCGAGGAATCATTGATTTGTTCCTTGCGAGACCTTTCGGAGCCACTAGTCTGCTCCAACGTATGTTTTCATCGTCAGTCGAGATTTGCTTTTTCTTTCTGTGAGTGTACAACTAACTTCCATGTGTATGTAGAGGTTTGTATGAGGAAATAAGAGAATTGAGTGAAGATGCAGAAAAGGTGGCAGCTAAGATTGCGGATGATAAGATGTGCGAACGTGTTCGAAATTATGTGGCTGCACCTCGAGAAATTCAAGAGGTCTTCGAATCAGACGCCAGTAAGTGGTTTTCTTTTCCCCATCAGCATTTGAGTATGTCTAACCCTTGTCCTTGATGTTTGCTTGCAGAACTCGAGGGAGTTGACATTATAGCGATCATCTTACGTTCATCCGAAGGCTCATCTTTTGATGCGGGTACATTACAGAGAATACAACGTGCTTCGAAAGCCTATGAAGCTTACAAGGCCATGCGTGACAGTTTAGAAGATCCTGAATCTAATCAAGGCCCAACGGATGATGACGCGTGGTTGTTTGAAGATCTACATGTTTACATGAGACTTTTAAGACGGTGTAGAGACAAGGAGCAATTGATTGAATTAATCTTTGAAGTCGGTTCCCCCTTGTATGCGTCTTATGATATTTTTTTCTTACTAATGTCTGTTGGCGCGGTTGTTTAGGGAACTACATCTGAACTCTTGAAGGACATTGTGACGATCTTCTACGCTCCTTTGATGCAAGTCTACAAGGCTGCTAATATCTCTGACTCCTTGGCCGATTTACAAAAGTTCATCGATGATCTTATTAAGACCGTTGAGCGTGCGGAAGAATGTAGGTCTCAATTTCATATTCTTTACCCCATGTATCCTGCTAGACATAAGCTGATCTTGGTTATTATTTACTTGCAGTCGCATTTGGTGATTCGCAAAGGATCGTTCAAACTTTTGTAGATCTAGTTGCAAGACATGAAGGATCTTTTTACAATTTTGTTCACGAAGTTCACTCAAAAGGTGCAGGATTATTTGATGGATTGATGCATTGGATTGAATTATTCGTAAATTTCGTTAGACAAGGATTGAAAGATAAAGTGACTTTAGAAACCTTATTACCACATCCAGATACACCGGAAAGATTAGAATTAATTCACGAGATTGACATGGTGATTGATTATCATCAAAAATTGAAGATTGCACATCATGAAAGAATGACCCGAAGATTAGGTAGAGTGGAAGAAGTACCTAAACCGAATCAACAAGGATATAGTCATGCACAAGATACAGCGTTTGTACAAGGAGTGATGGAGAATTTAAATTTATCTACAGTTGTAGGAGCAGATGTAGAAGAAGCAGCCAGAGAAGATCGATCTAATACAGATGAATCAGTTTCATCATCAGACGAAGGATCATTAATGGAAGAAGAAGGAAACAAAGGCAAAAAGAAAGAAAAGAAAGGTAGAAAGTTGAAAGATCGAGTGACCATTGAACCACCAGAATTAAAGTTAATCCCAAATCTTGTTCCACTCTTTACTGAATTAGTCAAACAACTTTTACATTGAATCAAAAGTCAAATGAATGAAATCTTGTTGTAGTCATCATTTATAATGATGAGAAATTTTAAAAAGCCTTTCTATTGTTGTATGTATGTATGTTTTTTTAAACTTTGCTCCTCCCTTTCCTGTTTTTTCAAGGGAGATTGATGTATCATGCTCAGGACGATTTTATTAAAAATCTATACTTTGATCATATTAATCTACATTCCGATGGTAAATACAAACATGGAGACATGATAGACTCTCAGCTTGCTTTTCCTCGGTTTATCAACCCTTGCATAAATGTCTCCTTCAATATGCTCAAGGGTCTCTGATACCAGCTTTCCCGTCGCAGCGCGTTCAATGGAAGGTGCTTCGAAAAATCTGCACACCTGTGAACCCGCATGCAAGTGATAGCGCACATTCAAAATATCCTCTCGTCCGAAGAGGATCAGTCCTGCAACGTGGTACCATCAATCAGCGGTGGTAAGAACATCAGTTTACCTGGATAGTGTTTGAATGAATTGTGCTAAATACAGGAAGACATTGGGGTATCATATTACCTTTGATCTTTTCCTGCAAAAGGATTGATGAAAGTGTTTTGAGTCGGATAACACAATGGCCTCTGGATTAAGAGTGGTTGATTGCCGATTGGGGAGAACTGTTTCCAAGGTTTTGTGGTCAAGGATCATTGTGACCTCCACTGAGTTCATGTTGAGGCCAATTCGGGCCAATTCAGATGATTAAGCAAAATGCCTTGCACTGAACAGATTGCGGACTACTACAACAGATCAAAATAGAAGCAGAATAGAGGGAGACAGAAGAAAAAGGAGAACTCAAACAGACAAGACGAAAGGGAAGAGAAGGAAGTGTCAGAGTATAAATCCTCTCTGTACTGATCCTACTGTGACACCGTATCTATGTACATACTACTCTCCGTACTTGCCCTTCTGTCCCAGAGTTAAAAACATGGTGCAACCTGGTGCAACCTGGTGCAACTGTATGTCTGTGTGGACATAATTATCACCAAACTTTACCAGGGAGTTTAGTCTCATTCATGAACAAATCTGGGAGCATCTGTGCCCTGATGAACCACCTGCAGAACCAGAACCTTTTCAAAGTCTTCAAGGAGGTCCTACATGGAGTTGAAGCTTAGAATCAATATTGAATTCAACAATCTTTAACACACTCATGACCAAACAAAAAATAGCTGACCTCTTCAAACTTTTGAAGATAGGATTCAAAAGTCTGTCGTGCTAACTTTTTGCGTGCTGATTTGATCATTTTGACAGCACGCGAGGAAAGAATTTTGAAGGCAAATTGGTTAGATAGCATTCCAATAAGTTTTTGATCATCGTTTTTGAGAGAGATTAATCGTAAAATATATTCAATGATGGTGTCACTTGACTTGAGCTCATTCACTTCTCTTGACATAATCTGGTGGAATATTGTTTCTAAATAAAGTCTCAACTCTGGAATTCTATCTCCTTTAAAATTCCACATTAAAACCTCTGAAGGCGGCTCCATAATTTGAGCTGACAACATTCCTTCCGAGACAAGTCTCTCCTCAAGTTCTTTCCTAAGAATGGCCTCTTTGAGATCTTGAGCTAGATTCATATCCATCAAACAAATGCATTTCAATTATGATTTAGTATTGAGGGCAGGCATCTGGAATTCTTTACTCACCCCGTTTTGAGATCAGAGTCAAAATTCCTGGTGGGCTGAAGAAACTGAGATTCGCTCTTGCAGGGTAAAGCTTTTGTACGATCCTTCCGAATTTCATAGTGATCTCCTCCGAGTCAGAAAGTAATGCATCCATTCTGCTATAAATTTCTGTATTAATTGTGTTCGACACTTCCAAAATTCTGAGAAGCTTTCCCCACTGGTGTATCGAAAGTTCTTGGTCAAGCATTGCTTTCAAGGCTGGGTTTAATTCCTCAATATCGAGATTTCGTATATTCTTCAATAAGCTGTAAAGTCCGTATGATGGAGAACCCAGTGGATTTTCTGCAAGCTGAAGTCGAATGTCAACATCATGAACTCCTTTACCAATTTGGTGTTTTCGTATTAATTTTAGAACCTTGAGTCTGCTCTGGAGGTGATTCTCCTGCATATGTAATAAGAATTGAACCATGACCTTTCCTTCATCGAGGGCGCCGGCTTTCCTCGGGGAACTGAGGATCTTAGCAAGGTGAACTACGACATCATCTGTGAATTTTGAAGCCCTTTCATCATCGATGGGGGTTTTCAAACGAAGAAATGATTCTCGAATCCCTTCGGATCCTATTGATGGAGCTCTCGTAGAAGTTCTCATCTGGTGTAGAATCGAATCTGATAATGATGCTCTTTGAAGTGCTTCCCAGACAACTTTCAATCAAGCCCAGACATCAGCTACCATCACTGACTTTTCAAACCTGGATCACACACCATTATCTTGGTCTGAAAGATCTGAGTCGGTATGAAAATCAGACCACATCTTCACAAGTATCTCTCCCAGAGGCTGGTCTGAAAATCACGTTGGGTATCAGACAATGTTCTGAAATTTGAAAACATAGTATACCTGATGAATGAAAGTCTAACCTCTTAGTAAAAAAGTCTCAAAATTCCCTCGGAAAGCAGCAAATGTGTGAATAAATTTATTTGACTTCATCTCTTTTTTTTGCTTTGGGATCTTACATTTAAGGCACGACAAGACACCCACCATCCAGATCCTTTCCCTCAGTCCCAATGACTCCAGCTTAAGAGCACTATGAGCAAAGTCAATATACGGCACTATATTTTCTTCTAATCCTTGATGAGTGTACTTTTTCGAAGGAAATGATGTTCCTAATCGTATGACCGCCTGTGCCAGTGCCTTGATGACAGGGATGTGGTTATTCAGATCTAACACTTTGGGGGCGATCTCGTAATAGATATTCCAATTTTTTCCGTTGGCACTTGCCGGTGATGGGTCTGCTGCCTTCCTAAGATGGTCTAATATGACTCTATCGTTGGTTTCAGGTCTGCATCAGGGGCGTGAGAATGAAGTCTATTCGCCACAAAGGCCGTCTGGGAACTTGTCTCTGCGGTCGGGAATAAATCTCTGCCAGAGGATCGAAGCGAATATCGACCAGAAGATTTCCTTGAATATGACTCTCTGGTTGGTGGCAGGTCTGCATCAGGGGCGTGAGAATGAAGTCTATTCGCCACAAAGGCCTCCTCAACTTCCTTCTCCGAGTAAAGAGAGAGAATCGAGGATACAAAGATCAAAAACAGGAATGGAAGCAGAGTAGTACTAGACGATCTCATTTAAATGTCTTCTATCTAAGATTGACAATAAGAGTTCCTGATAGAAGTCACGATGGTCCTTCTGGCGGCAACGTCGGGATGTACGTCTGGCACTATCGAGCTTTTATATGTTTTTGCTTTCACTACGCCGGCCAAGACTGCGTAAACCCAATCTGCCCACAAGTCAAAAGAGATCGAGACGTGCAATATAACTCTGCTGAGTGTGTTTACGACACATCTCGACTTATCAGGCTACAAGCTGCGTTGTCTTTAGAGAGGACGAAAGGGGTAAGGTCATCGATGTCCAGCTGAATAAATGAGACGCGCAACGCAAGTTGTACGCAAAATTGAAAGTTGCCCTCCGAAGTGAGTTGCGCCAGCGGTGAACGTATCATGGGTACCCTTCGATATGCGTACTTCGATCATATATGGAAACTGACAAGCTATGCCCGCAGACTCCAGAGCATTGGCCAGCCAAGTTGGTCAATAGTGATCATTTAAAACCTTGCATGAATCACCAGGGAAACTACATAGCTACTCAGTTGCTTGCCTCTTGCAGAGGAGGAACCACCATTGGTCAATTATACTACACAAAGTTGATTCTGGAACTTTTCCACAAAATTTCCAGAACATTTTTCAGACAGCCAGAATGCTTCTGCACCCTGGGCAAAAGGGCATTCAAACATGTACTGTTTTTCACAAGTCCAGGAGTCCAGAACACAGTCAAATCTGTGTTCTGGGGCAGTTCTGGAAAATTTGTGGAAAAGTTCCAGAATCAACTTTGTGTAGGACAAATGTCATGTATCATTTGTGGATTAAATTTCTCAGAGTTTAATCGCCTTGTGTGGAAGTTTAAAATGCACTTTATTGCAAAATTGCATCGCTTCGGGAATTGGCGGGGCCAAAACCAGACGGGAACCCGTGACGCGTTCAGTTTTACGCGACCAGACGTGGCTCTATGTTCCTCAAGGCTCAGCCCAATACAAATTATTCTGTCGAAGCAGACAACTTCGAAGGACTCCGATCTTGAAGACTTACTTATTTTAAAAGAGACTAACAAGTTAAGAGATCGCTTCAGAAGGCTTGATATTCGAAACATGTACATATATCATCGAAGTTGAACCGAGTCGATTAAAAGGCGACTTGATTTTTCATTTTCATCAAATTGACATTCAACTCAGCATTTTCAAATCGAGATAGCATGTCATCGCTTCACGAATCAACTAAACTGGCTAAAAACCTACATTGGAACTTCAAACATCCAACGACCAAACAAACTACCACTGCTGCTGCTGCTACTACCACCACAAGAAGAAAGGAGAATCTGATGATAATCGAAAGTACACATCAAACATTGACAAACAACTTCAAATTATCTCATCAAACCTCACAATCTCAACCTTCAATCGAATCAAACTTGAGTTCAGCAAAAAACAATATTCAAAGACAACCTCTCCTTCAAAACTTAACATCCAATTTCATTTCTAAGCCTAATCCCAAAACTTTCATAACCAATCCAACAACAATCATCTCAGCTTCTCAAGCGACAAAAATGAAATCAACTTTAAAACAACAAACCAGATTGATCTCCCGTTCTCAAATAGACGCTGATTTCTCCGCGAAACTTCCACCTTTTCAACTCCACGATCTTCGCTATCCAACCCAATCAATTCACCTTTGTCCATCGCCAACTTATCCCACGAGTTCATTGGAAGAACTTATCAAAAAAGTGGTTCAAGATGCTATTGTTCTTGATGAACATACTAGAGCTCTTGCGTTTGACATGGAATGGAAGATTAGTCATCGTAAAGGACACGAAATGCGGACTGCAGTCATCCAAATCTCGGGATTAACTATCACTTTGATCATCCAACTTAGTAAATTTCAATCAACTTCCAAAGGTTTAATTCATCCATCAATTACGAGTTTTTTAAAAGACTCTTCAATAATCAAATTAGGTGTAGGAATTAGAAATGATGGATTAAAATTACTGAGAGATTTTAATCATAATGATGAAACGCCTTACCTTAATAGTTATCTTGAACTTTCTCATCTTGTTAAAGCAATCGATGCACCTAGATTTGTTACTCAAACTCAAGAGAATGGCTCAACCATAAGTCACAAAAGTGGTCGTTTATTATCATTACAATATATCATTGGCACTTATCTTGATGTATATTTAGCTAAAGGTGATGTCAGAACAAGTGATTGGAATAAAACATTGACCAAACAACAATTGGAATGTCAGTCTCTTTCTCTCCCTTCTGTAGTTTTGATGAACTTACTGATGTCTCTCTTTGTGATTCTCGACAGATGCGGCTGCAGATGTGGTAGCCACCGTACGAGTCTTTCAACGATTGAGAGGATTAGCCGCCGAAGTCTCAGACCCGGCAATTTCTAGCGACCCTACACTTTCCTACTTTCACGCTTCACTTCAACCTTTAGAAACCAACCCTACTCAAAGCCAATCTAGTCCAACACCGCCAATTCCTGAAGCTGTAGTCAAAAAAGGAGAAGTCAAAGTTTTACAAACAATTCTTAGCTCTTGGGTCGGTGACAGTAAAACAACGACATCTCAAAATTTTGATGATACTATTCCAACTATTTTAAGTCTTGAAAACCAATCTCAGCCCTTGAAAAAGCTTCCAATTGCTTCAACACAAGCTTCTTCGTCCACACAACCGTTGCTTGAACACTCATTTCGTCCATCACTTCAACCTTTTCTTGAACAATCAGTTCATCCACCAAAACAACTCTTGATTAAACCTCAGTCTGACTCTTTCATTCATCTTGGCGAGAAATCAGCAGCGCCACAATCTCACGAACGGTCGATTCAACTTCAATCTTTACCTACAGCTCAAACCATGGGTAAAGAGACATCTTTGCCTATCCATGCAGCTGGATCAAGGCCAGAATCTGAAAACCTATTAACCAGAAGAGTGAAACAAGCCTGGGAATTATGGTAATCTACTTTATTATAATATATTCATCGAATCGATATTGAACTAAACACGATTTTTTTCCCTCAATATGTACAGGTATTACGAAAGGATTTCAATAGAAGAATGTTCAATTAGAATGGGAATCAAACCGATTTCAGTGGCAAGTTATATTGGAAAAGCAGCCATGATCATTAATGATTTTCGATTTAAAGAAAATGATGATCAAAAAGTTAGATTAAAAGAATTGATTGATCAATATGAACTTTGTAAACGGTTTAAAGTTCAATTAAATGCTTTTCATCTTTAGAATCATTTCTTTTTTGGGGGGACAAAAGGGTGTTTTGGATATGGGGGAAATGTTTCTTTCTGTAAAGGGAAGGAATATTGGAAATATTAAGACGCTTTGTTTGCACTTCTAACTTGTATTTGTAACTCTTCTTAGATTGTATACTGGGTAATGCTTCTTCGTCTATTTTTTTTTGGAAATCATCACGAACGTTTCTCAATCTAATTCAAACGATGTTTAGATGTATTTCGAATTGATGAATGGGTTATCAAAGAGACTATCACCATAATTCCTAGGTTCGTTTCACACTTCTGGTTGATCGCTTTTCACATTCAGGTCATTGATCCTACTGGATGAGGTGGTCAAGATGTCTTTTCACTCATGGCTTGAGTTACAAACAAAGATTGAGGTTGGATTGAGCGTTGATTGCGTGGTGGTGATGTTGATTTGTAAGAAAGACGGACAAGACTCAAGGGGAAACTTAATCAAGAGTTGTTTTGGTGCACAAATAGATTCTTCAAGAAAAGGCCGAAATGATGAATAAAATTGTTAAGCAAAGGTTCAGTCGATGTACAGCCCTTTGCAGAATTGATGACTTTGGAAAAAGAGAAAACACTTGAGTTTTCAAAAAAAACCTGCGAGTTTTTTTCAAAAACTCATCGAGTTTTTCAAAAACTCATCGAGCTCTTTCTCTTTTAGAATTACTGGGCCAGGTTTCCAAAAAAAACTCACTGACTTTTTGAAAAACCCAGCAGCTTTTTGACAAAACTCGGTCACTTTCCAAAAAAACTCGAGGTTTTTTATTCGAAAACTCGAGGTTTTTTTTCTTCAAAGTCATCAATTATGCAAAGGGCTGTAGAAGCTTGTGTAGAACAAAGCATCTTTGAAGGCTGAAATTCATGGCTGAGTTCTAAAGGAGTTAAAAGAGGAACAATGACATTAGAAGACAAAGGCGTTTGATTATCACTAATCCAAGGGCTTGGAAACATTTGTAATACTTCCACTTTTCTTTTTTACGACTGGTACAAGAATCGTCAGTGATGCGTTAGATTGAATTTGAGTAAAGCTTGAAGGTTGAAGTGAACCGTGAAATCACGAAAGTGTTGATCACTAGACATTGCTGGATCTGACTTCGGCTAATAACCTCATTCTTTAAAGGACTCGTATAGTTACTACCAGGCCACTACCACATCTACAGCCGCATGTGTCAAGGGGCACAAAGAAAATTATTAGGCAGTTCTCGGATGCTACAGAAGGGAAGAGAAAGAGACATCAATTGTTTGAACAAGATGAGAAGGATCAAGATAAATACGAAGATAAGATATTTCTTCATTCTTATTATCAGTATGAATAGCCATTCGAGAAATTGGCAATCGGCGAACGAATTGAAGGTTTAGAAGATGATTGGCATTTGCAAAGGTGAATGATCAAAGTGACAATTGAACCTGAGAATTGAATCACTGCAGTGCGAGCTCCTTGTCCTTTAAAATTACGATGACTAATTTTCCATTCCATTTTGAACGCTCGAGCTCTATACTAGCCTCTAGTATGATCATCAAGAATAATAGCATCTTGAAACACTTTTAACTCGGTCTCCGGAGTATTCTTTGGATCACATTTACCTAAGTTTATGTACCAATTCCAACTCTGCTTGTGGTCACAAGATTTAGCAGGCAAAGAAAAACTTATGTCCGCACGTAGAGTTGGACTCGATTACACTTGATTTTCGCAAGCATCAATCCCAAATTAGCTTCTCGCATCTATAAACTTATCCTCCTGTTGATCTATAGATACATGATTGTTATCTGGTCTTTTCATATATTGTAAGCTGACTCGTCAACTCTTTTCTCTTCCATGTACATCTGCTATTGTTAGATTAGCTCAAAGGCTTCAAAGTTAAGGAGAATAGTTCTCACTAAGTAGGTTGACCAGTGTGTTGAATCATCCTCAGGAAACACAACTTTTCCGGTTTTCCAGAATGAATTTCATTCATCACTTAAATGACAATTCTGGTGTGGTAGAAACAAACATGTATCATTGTGGCTAGTGGATTTGGATCCAAAGCAAGATCAATGAGTCGCATTCCACTTGACCCTACGGCAAAAAGGTCTGACTAGACAAGAATAATGACAATTGTTGGTAGCAGTATCATCAAGCAGCGCCGTCATGTACACGTAACAAACATAGTCAAACGCGTGGTGAGTTAGTCAGAATAGGGATAGATGCAACATGCTAGGCGTTGCAACCACTGCATTCTAGAAGCCGTAGCGAACATTGTCAAGTTTGAACCATAGAAAGGGAAATATGGTGATGACTCTGAGCATATATCACATGCTGGACAACGAACGAGCTGTGGAAGTCATACTTACGTTGAGGCCTAACAAGGCGAAGGCAATAGACCTGGTCCGACGTTCCCCCTGGGTGAGTGTGCGTGCACACTTTTGTGTTCAAGTACCAGGAGTTGACCAGAATTCAATACAATGCATGCATAAGCTTCAAGGCGTTGAACTGAACTCGCAGGATTCCAGGCATTTCAAGATGTCCTGAACCTATGCGTGCAGTCAAAGAACTGGAGTAAAAATGACTAACAGACTTTTCTACCACCGACACCTGCCGTACTGATGGAATATGCGACATCACAAGTCAAGTCTCCTGAGCCGCCGAATGGCTTTCCGCTCTCGTCAGTGCAGTCTTGAGCAGCTGTGCAATGATGCATCGAAGCAAAAGGTAAGCTGTGCGTTTACGTCGCGCGGGTATGGAAAATGAGAAATATCTCTCACCGGGTGGTTTCCCATCAGACCTTCCACACTGCGTGCATTGAAGATATGTAGTGGATGATGTTCCACATTCTAAGAAGATAATTTTGTTTGGCAAAGAGTTTAGATTGTCAGTTCAGTACACACTATTCCTAGAAACAAAAGATCACTGATTGACTGTGACGAATTGGAAACCTGAAGACTGAAGGGAGATGTTTGACTAACCAGCTAATGCGGGCTGGCCACGCTCGCCCACATGTCCTGGAGTCCAACTGTAGGAGCATACGTCGGCGGAAGCGAAAATAGGGGAGCCGGGATTTCCAGCAAGCAGGAAAACGAGCAAAAGGGTCGGAATCGATCGATTCCAAAACATACTTCGCAGAACAAGATTCTCAGAGGTCGTAGAGCTACTTGAAGTTTCAAGGTGTGCTGAAGTTAAGATCAAAGACAAGAAAAATATTCGAGCGGGCAGATTTAGTGAGAGGAGACAGATGAGGACATATGATGCAGGGATCGAGCTCTTTTACAGCAGCCATATATAGTCAACGCATTGCAAATTTCCGCAGCGAACGTGTTCGCAATTTATGCTGGGATAATCCACGTAATATTGTGAGAAGGTGGTCCGTGGAAAATTCTCATTGAAATATGTTGTGTGCACCAGGGGTACACAATCTTCTCGGCCTCGGATGGTTTTGAAAACCTGTCCAGGAATCTTGATGAGATCACGGTGGATCACGGTGAAGAATTAAACTTAACAAAGTCTCACGCTCGCCTCGCGAGAGACTGACCTCGAAGTTGCACGTTTTATTGGCTGAGAGTAAGACTTTTTGCCGGGAGCTTCCTTGCAATCTCTCTACCCCTTTCCCTACCCAAAATTCTTTTCTGGACCAAAGGCAAAACTTGTTCGCCTTCTTCTTGCGCATAATGTCCTCCACTTTTTTCCCGAGGAATATTCTTTCTCTTACCTCAAATCCTTCCCAAATTTGGGTCTCAACTCACACTGGCGGCGCAGAAAAAAAAACACGCCAAACGTCGCGCCTAAAAGACTCGAAAAATAGGTCGGCACGCCTAGATTGGGGGCGTGAGAATTTTGCAATGTTCTTTTTGCAGACATTGAGAGCATCCCCACCGCGCCGCCGGAAACGTAACGTTTCTGACATAAACGTAAATTCAACTTTACGTTTCCAGCCAGACACCTAAACTTAGCAAAGTCCCACGCTCGCGCCTACTCGCGAGGCGTCGAGCGAGGGACTTGCGGAGATGGAAAGGAGGCTGCGAGAGACGGTGGTGAGAAAGCAGGGAAAAGCGCAGAGATAGCACTGAGCAGTGGTAAAATCTCTGCGTTGTTTCCCTGTATTCTCCAAGTATTCTTACCGTCTCTGTCACGGTTTCTGTGACATGTTGAGCCTCACTTTCACACCCCCTTTTTCTCTCCATGGAAGATACCCGACTAAGGCCTGGACCCGGCCCGGCCCGGCCTCAAAATCATGGGCCAAGCCGAGCTCCTTTTAAAAAGCCGCCGGCCCGGCCCGGCCCGAGTAAATTAAAAAAAAAATCCCGCTCAGCGAAAAAAATAAAATAAAAAAAACAAAATAAAATAGATGATTTCTGGCACATTATATTTACCATTGGAAGCCCTTTTTTTGCTGTGTGGGACCCATTGCCACTTTTTGAACCTCTCTGAAGAACTCTCCGAGCGACTTTCATTGCTAAAATTCACCAAAAGCCTCGGTTTTAGCCCTTTTGGCTGGCCCGCAGCACACCGCTCTCGGGCCCGGGAACAGTGGTATTTTGGGAGGTCCCTGACAGTGCTGTCAGTAACTGGCAGCCACACATTTCACCTACCGTTCCCCAACCTTTAATACCCCGTGATAGAACTAGCCTTACATTACGCACCCATGATTCTTGCGCCACATCCTTACTGACACTCTTGGTGCCCTCCTCGGACTTATTGTCCATTGCGGGCCGGATTGCTGAACCGCCCCTCTGTTGTGTCGCTTTCCCTCCCGCTCGCCACCTTACCACACCACCACACACTCACCATCAGCATCCAGCATGGGCACCAAAGATCCCAGACATATTCAATCAACATTCACCCAAATTCATCCAACCAAAGCCATCACTCCTCCTGTCCTTTGGGGATCTCCGGGTTTTGCATGCCCCGTTTGCCTTGAGTCCGGCATCACCACACCTATGAAATACATCAGGTACAATCAAGCCAGTTGGCTCCTCGCCGTAAGTTATATTTTTATTGTCATTGGAGCTTTCCAGAAGTTAAAATTGACCATCACCGGTTCTCCAGTGTGGCCTCAATCCACCACGCACACCTGACGGTTCAAAAGTCAGCGGTCACTGGTATAACACGTGGCAACCAGCCCAACTTGCCTTCAAACTCACGTCAATCAATTCCGGACACTGGCCAGCTCTCCTTTATCAAGATACCTTGCAATCTATCACAACCAATCAGCCAACCAATCACGGCCCTAATGGGCACTCAGCTTCTACGAGTACCACCAACACCACCAGCCAAGCCCTCTTTGATTGACTTTTCCCTCCGAATCCTTCACCCAAAACCTCCTCAGGCCTGCTGTGCGGGGGTTGCGAAGGAAAGACTGGGCAGAGTCATCACCTCAATGAACCCCGCAAAGGCAACAAGGACTGTGTTTACAATGCCTGTATCTCTGTGAGCTCGCCCCCAAATCTTCTTTTCTGTTTTCAAGTAACTAACGAAATTCTCGCTGCTATGATAACCTAGTGCTGTTGAACTGTAGGAGTGAGAGAATGTGGTGCCAAATGTCATGGGGAAGCCAGCACGCCGCCTGCCTCTGGAAATTTGAATACCACCATTTCATCCATCAATCGAGACTCGACAGCTCAAGATGTGCTTATTGACCCTTCCCTAGAAAGTTGGATACCACACCCATCGCAATCTATACCACCTCCCTCGCAATCGGCAACATCTACTCACCGGAAGATTGTTCATCAGACCGCGCAGGCGGGTGGCCGCGTCGCTCACCAATTCAACCCTTCCCAACTCGCCGGTTTTTTCAACTTACCGATTGCCCGGGAGAAAGAGCTTGCCATGACCAAAGCAATTCAAGCGGATGAATCGAAAGTGGTCAAGGTTTTTGCATGGCTCAAGGTGAGACCAGACAATACCGGAATCGCTCCGCTCCGCTCCGCTCCGCTCTCAATTTCGGCCCTTTGAGGCAGCGGAGCCCGAAAGGGACCGCTCCGCTATTGCTTTTTTTGGGAAAAAAAATCTCATTCAAGAGCGGAGCGATTTCTACGCTCTAAATCGCTCCACTCTTTGCTTTATAGCGATTTTGAAGGGCAGAAAAAGAAAAAAAATTGTATTTCAAATCAATGTGTACTTGGTTGAGCCTATAGGGCCGGGCTAAGTAAGAGAAAAGAGAGAACAGACAAGAAGAAAAAAAAGAAATGAGAAAAGGAAACTGGAAAACAAAACTTCCAAGGAAAAATTTGATTTAAATTGAGAACATCTAGCGTTTTTTCTTAGTTGATCTTTGTATGTATTGTTGAAGAGCTTTTGCAGAAGCTTCAAAAGGACCGTCAGGTATGATCCCTTCTTTCAACCACGCCTGAGATCCCACCAGGCGCTCCATTGTCTTGGGAAGCATGCTACCTCGTGACAGGGTACATACATCGGCAGCAGCGGAAAAGGTCCGCTCGCATGCACAGGAAGTGGCCGATATAGAGAGGTAGTCGCAGGCCAGTCTTGCAAGTACTGGGAAATGTTGATGATGGGCCTGTGAGCAAAGCCAAAGCACAGTCAGAAATTAGGTGATGAGGCCATGTATATGAAAGAGAAGAAAAATTACCTTCCACCATTGGAGGGGGGTTTGGTCTGGATCCATTTGGTATCTTCCTTGAAGATAGTCGTCCAGTTCCGAAGATGCAACATCACCTTGATCACCGGTTGAGCCTCCAAACACATCGAACTTGTCAGGCTCCACATTCTTGCTGATTTCTTGAGTTGGTGGTGTAGGCTGGAGCTCTTCGCTTTCCGCCAAGAGTTTCTCGTACGCAGTGTCTAAGACGACATGGGCTGCAGCTTCAAAGTCTGGATAGTGCAGATTGAAGAATTTGCCTTGGAATCAAGGATTGAGCATGGTGGCAAGATATATGGCGTCGGAGTTGGCAGCCTCGCATTGATATTCAGTAAGCCATTGTATCATTGTGTCGATTGCTTCGTTCAGACTTGGAAAGTTTGTGTTTTCGGCCTTGTGTTGCTGAAGCTCGTTGATGACGCGACAGTATTCGGCCAAGAGGATGCATCCTGTTGGACCATTGCCCTCAACTCGAGCGGTTGCATCCACGAATGTCTTCCAGAACGCAAGATCATGATCAGTAAGCTGATCATGAACGGAAGAATGAGATGAACGAAAGAGCAGTGGAAAACATACCTTCAAGACTTTGTTGACCAACTCCACAGCGTGCCATTCCGATGGCGAAATTGTAACTCCTTTGAAAAATTGGGCCTTACGATCGGCAGCCAGCATTGAGTTAATGACCTGACAAGTCAAAAGACATGATCAGGAATGAAGAGATAATTAAAAACATAATGAAGTAGGAAAAGTAAGTAAAATACACGTACTTCCTGTGCCTCACAGGCAACCTTCCGAATTTCATAATGACTGTTCCAACGAGTCTTGCAAGGACGTCGAAGCATCCAACCCTTGTAACCCATCCGCTGAGCGCGTACCTTGAAGTCCTCGCGTCGGGCTGCGCTACTGGCAATTTGTCCTGAAACAGTATCGATCTATGTGCAAAAGACAACAACAAGATTGTCAGCATCTTTGATTACAAGTCAAGATATTCAATTTGTACCATACCTTTGCGAGAGCCACAGCAACAGCATCCTGCTTCTTACCAGCATCAGCTTCACCACCTTCACCATCGCCATCCTCGTCATCAATACCATCAGGTTGGTCAGGTAAGCCATCCGAACCTTCAGAAACGTCTGAATCGTGATACTCCAGAGGATCCTCCCCGTTGTTGACCTCAATTCCAGGCACCGGGAGGGGAATATTGTGAGGAGTTGATGGTTTTGCCTTAGAAATATTCTGACCAAGCTTTTTGAGACCGTGTCCCACCACAAGATTCAACTTGTGTGCGTAACATCGCACATGATGAGTTGAGTTGTCCCAAATGACAGGACTCGCAGCCGATGCAAACATAGTTTGCATCTCGACGGCCATTGTAGAATTGTTTCCTCCACTGTCAGTAGTCTGCGCCAGCATGTGAGGAAGGGAAAAAACAAAAGATAAGAAATAAAAAATGAAAGAGAACCAAAAGGTTAATACAAAAGAAAATGAAAATGAAGGACTGTAATAAATTTTACTCATCTTCTTATGTAGGCCATGTCGAATCAAGAATTTGCCAATAGGCCTAGCCAAGAGAGCCCCAAAATGGGGCCAAGCGACCATCTTGAGGGTAAGATGAGTAGATTTATACTCCCAGTTTTTGTCAATATAGTTGGCTGTTGCTCCAACAAAGGCATAACGATTCCCTTTGGTTGTCCAAACATCATGGATCAGACAAAACTTACCTTCGTTTTCCTATCAATATGAAAAGAAAAGTAAATGATAGTTAGCACTCAAACAATGGTGGAAAGAATGAAAATACTATGTACTTACCTTTAATGTGTTAATTGCCTTGTGGTGCAGACCGGCAAAAAGGTCTACAGACTGTTGGGCAGCCCACGTCGATGATTGAACAACAGTGCCTCGGTTGCTTGCATCAAAAGCTGCACAGAGTGCAGCATCCTCAAATCGAGCCCAGGGGAGTGCGTGTCGTACAATCCACAGCACTAAGATTGTGTTTAATAGGTCGACTGTGAACTTGGGTCCACCAAAATAAGTTGTTAAGGTGGACTTTTGCTCCTTCTTCTTGGCTTCTTGCTTTTCTTTGTAGGCGACAGGGAGTATCATACCGGCAGCTATTGCTTTGTGTCTTTGCGTACAAACCGGACATGATTTGCTTCCATCTCGATGACACCATAAGCTCCAATAAGTAGTAGGTCCAGTTTTGTAAGTATTCCTACAAAATTTACACCTGAAGGATCGCCCCTACATAAGAAGAGATATCACACTGATCAGCATACACAATAATTGTGACAATAGAAAAGAACAATAATGGAAAAGAAAATGAAAAAGAACACTACAAAAGTCAATCACTTACTTTTGGAGTTGGCTTAGGTGGTTCATAGTACTCGCAAAGATACTCCACATCAGCAGATCGTTTTTCATTGTACCCCAGTTCCCTTTCTTTGATCTCAACAAACTTAACTTCAGAGTCCTGGTCCATATCCATACCCGTAGGTACTTCATAATCCTACATCAGATAAGGCAAGAATAAATAAACTTTGTAGTTTGACTATGTATATGATAACATGCACATTTTTTTTCTTTAGATCTCTTGGTAGATGTACCAGCACTACTTTGGCTTCCTGCAGGTGATCAAGATTGAACACGTTTGCTACTCGAAGAAAGCGTCTAAGGAGGGTAAGAAATCAAAAATCAAGTCACAGTCAGCTATGTCGGCAGATATCAGAAAAGGAGAGAAACAATAAGAAAACAACTGACCTTTCCCTTTGCAGTCGGCTTTGCTTTAGGTGCTGCTTTGTGTTTTTTTGCAATAGGATTTGGTGGTCGAGGCGATGCGGACCGACGAGAAAGTGGTCCAGCATCAGGATCATCTTCGTCTGGCAACGACAGAGTGACAGCTGCTCGGGAATCTCGAGGTGGAACAATGAATCCTTTTTGTTTGCGAGAAGGACTTGGTGGCCGGAGTTGTCGAGTTGATGAACTACCCGGAACAATAAGGCTTTGTGATGAGCTTTGCGATAATTTTTTAGTGAGACCCATTCTGAAAAGGTAGCGAAAAGGGGAAAAGGAAATATTAAGAAAGGTCTTTTATAAGATAGGAGACCATGTGGAGTGATGAAGATGTTAGGGTGATTGATACACTCACCTTAATATCACGAATAAAGCCAGTCAAAAATGTGAACCACAAGCCAGCCAGATGGAAAAATGTGGCCAGGGGTCTTGTTCCATTGTGTCAAGGAGTATGGGTGGCGTTGTCAAACTGGCGGTCACGGTTGTATTGCCGAAATGGGAAGGTGGTATTGAGTGGCGGTGTGGGTAGAGGGTTACTGGGTTTCCTGCGCTCTATAGCGCAGGAAACTCGGCCCCGGCCGTCAAAATGCGGAGCGGATGCTGCGCTATAAAATTTCAACCTGCCCATGAGCGGAGCGCAAGCCCCGCTCTTTATCGCGGGAAAATAGCGCACCGCCGGGACCGCTCCGCTATCGCTACGCAACCAATTTTTCATGCGGAGCGGTTCCGGTATTGGACCAGATGTGCCAACTGATCCTACCCCCTGGAGCTAACCGTTTCACTCGGTCGCTCACAGCCAGACAAAGACCCATTGTCCTTCACGTTCAAATGCCCCAAGTGGCCGCTGTTCCACCTCAAGCAGTGCACAATGCTTGTTGAGGAGGCATCACTTGAGGCAGGTCTCTCGGATGGTGGAATGCTGTGGTCGCGTGAACTCTTGCTATGGGATCCAAACATAGATCTTTGGGTGAGTTCTTTCTCAAATACAGTGATGTCTTCACAGTAACTGATGAGTTTCACTTCCTAGTCTAATACCGCCATTGATACCCCTCACCGTTTCCCTAACAATCCTCGTCAAATCTTGGTTTGATTTAAATCAATCCCACCAGAAGCTTGCCCGCGGCTTGATCGCTACAAATCCAATGGGAGCGGGTCCCAGATCACAGGAGCAACCAGCGGATCAAACTCAGACATAATCTATCAGGGGTGTTCTCAACCCAGCAACCCCTTGCAACAGCTTCCATGTGCTGCTCAACACCCGCAACAGCCAGAAGAACTGCCTCGACAGCCAGAAGATCTGCCTTGACAGCCCGAAGATTTGCCTCGACAGCAAGAAGAACTGCCTTGACAGCCAGCACACGGCGATGATGTGATATTTGTATCCGAGCACAAGGCACCATCCCTCAAGACATCTCTTAGTCTTTCAACTCCAGTGGGCTATCTATCACTTTTTTCCAGGAGGCCGACATCCCTAACCTCTTTTTTCCTTTTTTTGTCAATAAGCCTGACCTGACCGAAAAGAAGCCCGCATGGCCCAACGTAGACGCGCCCATTCGGGATCTGTTTGAATGGTTCAACCTAACAGCCACCTTGCACCGTGTCAAAGCCTGGAAAATCTGTTTCACACCAAATTTTACCCAACCTAGTGACACCACAATCCATCGACATGGTTGATGGATTGAGAATTGCAAATTAATCACTTTGGAAGCATGGGAGGAGCAGGAGAGCAGCGCAGGCCGCTCTTCAACGATTGGAGCGGCGCGCAAACGGTTTAAGGTGGAGTATTGCCTTGCGTCGAGTGCGGGTTCAGCACCCGACAACGCGAATGTTGCAAAGTCAGCTTCTCCATCTGTCGCAGATGCAAAGGTAGCTTCAGGCTCTTGCTCCTTGTGAAATCGCGATGCAAGCGGATGTTTGGTGAATAAACCCCCCTTTATTTATGTCTTCCTATCAGTTTTGGAACTAATCTTTTCTGTGCCCTCTGTACCTTATTCTGTGCTGTTCTGCCTCTAAAATTTCTCTCCCTTTCACGTCAGTGCATTCAAAAAATTGGGTGGGTACAATTTGCTTTGTGAATTTTGTGCTTGGTGAAATCATGGATAGTGCATCTACAAAAGAGCGCTTTAGGTGGAAAAGTTATGTGTTTGGATTTACACGTGTGCTTTCTTTTACTTCCCTGTTTGTGGTGAGCTGTCTCAATGATCCTTTGTGATCATACAAAATGTGTATGATCAACTCAACACACAATGCAAAGTGTATTTGTAACAAGTGATTTTGATGAGCGATGGTACACAATGGTTTGGGCCAATTATATCCGAATTACCTTTTTTTTGGGGTGTACCAAAGGTAGACCAGTGATTCACGCGCTATTAAGGGATTAATGAGAGGAGTTAAAATGTCTGCACGCTTGTTTCCCCCTAGTTGAAAGCAAGGGGACAATCATGATTCATGAGGTTAACATGTTTGATGTTTTCTCTGTTCTAGAAAGAGAACACTTTCCCTCATATCATTTCTTTCTTCCTAGAAAGATCAACACCTCTTCAATTCACTCCTTCAAACCACTTCCCCATATATATAGTAGGTTCTTCTTCAACTTCACTTGAAGATTCTTCATACATTGCATTTATTCATTGGTTGACAAGTTCTTCACTTCCGTTTCAGATAGCCCGATGTCAGACACACATGTTGACCATGACACCCACGGTGACCCCGCCACCTCCTCTGATCCCCTCAACGCGGCACAGGCCCTTTCAACCTTCCCACTCACCGGAACAACCGATCAGACCAAGAACACGGGCGACACTGATGGTGTCGCGGGAAAAGCAGACATCATCAACAGTGGAACAGACAGAGTGACATTGCACTCAGTCTGTGGTTTTGGTAAGATCACTGGTCATTAACTTGAATCTTGATAGTTCCAGCAAACCTAAGTGTGTTGCTTTGATGTAAATGTAGAGGTTTTTTTGAGCGACCACGTCTTTGACACCCGCCAACTCTGGAACTTGTCCTTGCCGCTCGTCAACTGGCCGGAACTCCTACCCAAAGATTGTAACGCCATCATGCTTGCTGTAATAAGAGGCGATGGGTCATCTTTGGTCTTTACCAGCAGACCGGCCCACATTCAGATGACCAATGAAGTTGTACATTCATCAGACTTCCGTGTGACAGTGAAAGCGACTCTCTCAGACAGTGGCCGTCAGGTGTCAATTGGAGTGCGCAGATTCAATACCCATGAGGTTAACTTTGGCACTTACTTAGGGGTCGCCAAGAGCTACCTTCATGTGGCTACCAATTTGAATCGGTTTTGATACCAAATCATGGACCTTTTAGAGACCACAGACTTACTTGAATCCAACGAATTCAGCCATGAAGACTGGGTGGTTCTCCGAGCCTTGCAAGTAAGTGTTCTATTAAGCATTGCCTTTTCTTACACCGTAGTAAGGGGTTTGATCTAACGTCACAACACGCTCTACAGTTCCAAGAAAACTTAGTCGGACTGATGAGTGAAAACACGGCTGAAGGTACAGGTTTTGAGAAAGGGTTCACCGCTGAAGAGATAGTCCCGGGAGCACGCGAGAAGTACAGTTTTGACACGTCTTTCAAACCTATGGCGCGGTGCGAAACCCCGAATGTGCCTCTTGAAACTCCCATGCACCTTTTACTTGATGCTTTCTCGCATTGCTCATACAAAGGCAGCGGTAGGACCAGCGCAATAGGTGGATTCCAGGGTGTTGGCCCCATCATCACCGAAGCAGTCATCCATGATACCGAGTGAGTCACCCTGGGTGAATCACAGCCGAATCATTGATCTTTGATGGACTTACCTTACTGGGACTCTTGTTGATATTTTCTTTCCAGGCGCAATTGGACCATTGGTAACTTTGGACGCGCGGTAATTCCACACTTCGCAAGAGAGCATGTTTGCAGGAAGTTCTGTTGGTTGCAAGGGTTGCCCCGCTATGGCCCTTCAAAAGATGTCAATTCAGCTGATGGCCCGTCAGATGCCAACCCCAAAGCTACGGTGGATGAATTACTGAACTAGGATCATAATACTTCTCCAAAGTTGATATTTGCTTCATAACCACAAGTTGTCTTTGATCCATATGGACTGTTGCCAGTGAGGCTATTTGTACTACTGAATCAATATACTTATTTATATCATCTTTCATCACCTATCGCTATGATGAACATCTTGTGTGAATCAATTACATTGGACTAAAACTTAATCAAGCTCTTTTCCCATCCCGTTTGAATCCTACCATCAATAATCGTTTTGTGCCATTTCCAAGTCAAATTTTGCAACTCTTTCTTGATTTCTGGCGAAAAAGTGTTGATATAACACTTCAGGAGCAGAAAGAAGCTTTGCTATGCTTCTTGGATGATTGGTTTTTGAGTAGGTATTGATTTTAATAAGATAAGAAAGATACACAAAATTGGATCATTGATTACATATACAATGTTTACAAAGCCAGGTTGCCTATGAAAGTGATATTTTCCCTTTTCTGCAGCCTGCGAATGAGCCAATTGTTCCTCCGAGTAACCATTTCCTCCATGAAAAAATTGAATCGCACAGCAGACATGTTTCTTGCAATAGAAGCAAATCCTTCATACCACACATCAGTCATCTCCGCTGCTGAGGAGTTAAAGAACCATCCCCCTTCATCTCAAAGCTCTGGAAAGAGCTTTGGATCAGTGTAATGCTGACAGAATTTGTCGCTGTCCTTGTGGCTACGAAAATGAAATGGATCAACGGGGATAACCGTCTCCACAAACGGCTGGTGTTTGCCGCTGGTGTAGATGTGTTTGACCAGCCTGCAGGCGTTGTCGTAGAAGCACACCTGAGGGATTCTACAGGGAAAGCTGCGTGAGATAAATTCCTGAACATACCAAAGGCTTCAATATAAGCCAAGCCAATATAAGCAATATGATATGATGGGAAGAGGATGAAACACATACACAAACCGCGCTGACACTTTCAGTGTTGTAAAAGGTTTCTCACCCAAGTACAACCCCACAACAGGCCACGGCGAGTTGGTCGTTGTGGGTTTGCTTGCGAGAAAGGCAGACTCGACTCCCCTTTGTTTTGGGGAGATCACCTCCTTTGCGAGCCTGCTCGTGCGCCCTATCATCTTCGTCTACCTGTTGCACGTCCTCCAGTCCAGTTAGCTCAGCGGTGTTCCAATCTTGATGGACCTTGGGGTCAGCCGGGCGGTTTGAAGCAGGACGGTTGAGCATGGAGGTTAGCGCAAAGTTTGAGGTCACTCGAGCCTTGAATTTGCTGTAGGCTTCGACATGTTCTGCAAGATGACATGTGGGTTTCCCGTCCATCGCAGTATTGGCGCAAGGTTGGGAAAGACACCGTAGGCCAAGTCGTTTATGGTGGTCAGGACAAAATTGATCATTTACCCTGGCCAGGCGGTTGGTGCAAGGTCCATCTGGAGGTGGCAGGCCGTCAGTTTCGGCTAATTCGCGTAGCTGTTTGGAGGTTGCTGAGCATCTCCAGTGTCCTATAGTTATTCCGTCGGTCACTATGGCACGGATTTGCGGAGGAAAAGGATAGATGTGAGTTACAGCTGGGAAGAAATAATCAAGCAAAGGGACATACAGCCCAATTTTGGTTTTTTGCCATCATCACCTGGGAGTGGAACCACACGCACACAACCCGAGCACACGTGGTCGCGATGCTTGGACCCTTCAAGCGCGATCCTTTCCAGAACGTGCTCCATTGGATTGTTGTAGCGGTGGTCGCTCTCTATCTTGGCATCTACTATTACATTTCTTTGAGAAGAGTCGGCTTGCTGGAGGAGGCTATGAATGTCAAGTCCGTCTCCACAAGTAACCACAGATAGAAACGGCTGGACCTTTGGAGCGCCGTGTAGTGTTGGGATGGAGACGTCGTTGACATAGGTGAGGTTGAACAAGTTGGCAAGGTTGAAGTAGGATATGCTGATGATGAAGAATGAGAAAGCAGAAACCAAATTAAGACAGTGAAAGAGAAGTTGAATTACTGAGCTAGCATTTGGCCGTTACGAAACATCTTGGCCAGTCTGTGTGTCATGAAAAAGTGACTTCTTATCTGATAGTTCTTGTCATTGCGACCATCAAGAGCGGAGTAGTACGTTTGTAAGCTGTTGCACAAATAGTAGCTTGGTCTGTAGTGTCTAGTACAATCTATTGATTGAGGCAGGTTGCAAAACCTGGTTAGAAATTCTAACTCGGTGACAGGGGAGGACAAAGAAAAGGAAGCCATAACAGAGCATCCACTCACTTGGGCATTTCATGGTGAATATCCTTGCGGTGTCGACCCCATCAACATCATACAAGTAACCATCAATGTGAGACCGATGCTGTAAATTGTTTGACGTTGGGCAGACTAAACACTTCTTCACAGGTGGAGTAAGAAAGACTTCAGGTATTTTAACTGTGAGTTTGGGTGAATATCCATGCTCTTGAATCAGGAGTGTGGGCTGCACACAACTTTGAACAAAGATTGGAAATAGTGTATTCCACAGCCGATAGCATTCGTTGGATGAAAGTGATAAGTTCAAAGCCTTGCAGAGGAAGGGTACAACTTCCTTGGGGTGGGGTGTTAGCAACGCAGCAGCAGGTACTGTACCAGTACCGGTATCGTACAGTAAAGTACCTAATGTTAGCAGTACAGTACCTAGGAGTAAAGTACCTTGGTGACCAATACTTTACTACGGGCCCCGGAAACTTTTTTTTTGGTGTAGGTACTGTACTCAGTGCAGTACCGCACCCCGAGGTACTGTACTAGTATGGGTCCTGTCAGTATCCCAATACTAGGTACTTTTGTGGTAAAGTACCTAGTTTTCAGCTGTACTTCGCCCGTCAAATCCATCCTGAGTACTACACCACCCGCAAACGCCAAAGGTCACCAAAGAGATGTCACGACATCGCCCCTTTGGTAAGTATTGACCATTTTGGTCTGCATTCCACCTCTTTCTATCTAGATACTGACTCTTTTTTGCTTAATCAAATTTTAGGATTGATCTAGACATGCAGCAATGGAAACCAGTACCCTTCCCATCAGGGTACTTGAGCAGAGCTTCTTGTTTTTTCAAAAGGTATGACCCTTTTACTCTCTTTCACCTACTTTACATTCCATACTTATAAGTTACATTTCCATTTTTACGATCTCCATTTTCTTATCTATACTATTCCCTTTGTCAATTACCTCCATCACTTTAACCGTTATCATTCAATGATGACAGCTATTTTCACTGTTTGTGTATGTGGTTGCTGGAAGGGGTTCAAATGAAAGGGAAATTTGTCAAGGCGGGCGAGATCATGAATCAGTGCATTGCTAATGATGCAGCTTGTCGTGCAAGGAAGTCTTGAGGGATTTTTTTCTTCTACTTTTCAGCCTTTTTATTTCCCTATTTTATTTCTTATTTCTTGTTAATACTATTGCTTTTTAATATCAATCTTTTTACTTGTTTGTTTTTTTCATTTTATTTCCTTGCAAAACATGAACATCTCCTATTGTGCCAGGTACTGTACAATACAGTACAGTACCTAAGCTAGGTACGGTATAGTACAGTACCTAAATTTTTTGCCAGGATACCAGTACAGTACAGTATCATGGCATGGGGAAAAGTACTGTACTGCAGCTTGATTTTCACAGTACCTAGAGCCTAGGTACTGTACTCAGTACAGTACCTTCCCGCGGGTACTGTACTGAGAACCTCATTTTTGAGTATTTTAAAATAAGGTACTGTACTAGTATCCTCAATACTGTACTGGTACAGTACCTGATGCTGCGTTGGTGTTAGGTTCCAGGCTCCGTCGGTGAGAGTAAAGATTTCCAAGGCCAAGCTGACAAATCGTGTAAGGACAGATAGATTCAGCTTGGCATATAAGTCCGGCGCGTCCGATGAGAGGGTGTTGACAAGGGTTTGTAGAAGCATGCTGAGCAGCGCAGTGGGTGGTGAAATGTTGGGTGTGACGGTGAAGGTGGAAGACGGGCAAATTTTTTACAAAGTCAGTGTGCCGGGGGGTTTTGGGTTGAGGGGTAATGGGGGAGTTGGTGAAATTGTTCAGGTTATTTCACTGTGCTGTTGGGTAGATGGCAATGTTTGGGACAGGTGAGTGCAAGTTTGTCTTACCCCATGGGGTTATGGGTTTAGCAGGCAAATGGCAGTCAGTTTGTACTGCCACGGGCTGACAGTCAGGGACCTCCCAAGGGACGGGATCTCCGTCGGGCCCAAGGGAAAATTTCTGCGGCCGAAAAAGCCCAAGCCCGAGCCCAGCTCGGGCTGGCCCGCTGGTCCCGGTGCCGGGTCCAGGC